TTATTGTGTCTGAATTGTCTTCCTAAAATTTACAAATAACTTAAAAATGTCAGAGCATGACCTAACAACAAGGAAGACAAAAGGCACCATCACCAGGTGCCCAGTAGCAGACGCCCAGACGAGGGGTCCAGCCCTCTACACCTTGGGAGCCTTCTATGCAAAGACTATGACTCTGCTCTCGTGCAAGTAGTCACCTAGAAAACCTCAGCCACGAAAATCATCTTTCAAGACTATACATAGTTCAGTCTCTATGACTCTACTCTCGAGCAAGTCCATCTCCTGAGACTATACGTAGCTCGGCCTCTATGACTCTGCTCTCGCACAAGTCCATCTCCTGAGACTATACGTAGCTCGACCTCTATGATTCTGCTCTCGCGCAAATCTCTGCCACGACAGCCATCTCCCGAGACTATACGTAGCTCAGCCTCAGCTCATGCGGCCCTCTCACGGGATATCTACAGCTCTGACGTTGCTCTCATACAAATAGCCTACCCTTTTCTCCAGGTAATCATGTTAGATATTTTAATGTTGAGATAACATTATTTTTGTCAGGCACACTGTTGAAGCTCGGGTCATCTGTAACCGAGCCACTACAAGAAGTAGGGTGAAGCCACAGTCTCCGTAAAAACTACATTGGAGCCTCAACTCCTACAGCAGTACAAGGACTAATTCTAATACACACAGAAGCATCAATTTGGGAAGAAGTGGGGGCAACACCGGATCCTGTTCCTAGGAAACAACCTGGTCATTAGACCTTAGCCAAAAAGCACTGGGGGCATCAAATTTCGCCCTCTTGGGAGGAGGAGAAGACACCACCCTAAAAGCACAAGAGTCTCCACCATTGCTCTATCAACAGGGCGCCTATAATTAGAGACAAGGTCAATTAGTGACCAAGCACCAGAGAGACACCGCTCATAGCAAGACTTAGGACATCCCCCAAACACAGTAGTGCTCAAGGTCTCCTGGCGTCGCCCAAGGCGCCTGACCAGCCTCTTGGCATCACTTAAAACACCATCCCAGTCTACCCCTAGCATCACCCAAAGTAGTACACAGCTCTGGCGCTGCCCAGCACCCAACAGACCCTCTCACTTGACCAGCAAGAGTCGCCCAAGGAAGGAAGCCATAAAAGAATAAAAAAAAAGATGTGAGAAGGGCCAATGCCCAGACTGAAAACCAAAAAGAAAAAAAATGAAGGGGCGGCACCCAACAAGCCAAGGAAGAAATCAAGAGAGAGAGAGAGAGAGAGAGAGAGAAAGGGGACAGCACTAGGGAGGCCGACGCCCAGGCAGGCCAAGAAAACAAAAAAGAGAAAGGGGAGAAGGCCAGCGCCCAAAAGGGCGACGCCCAACCAGGCTAGGAAGAAAAAAAGAAAAGAGAAAGAAGAAGGGGCGGCGCCTAGGACAGCTAAGAAGAAAAGAAAGAAAAAAAAAGGAGAGAAAGGGAGGCAACGCCAGGACAGCCAAGAAGAAAGAAGAAAAAAAAAGGGAGAGAGGTTAAGAGGGCGGTGCCTAGGACAGCAAATGAAGAAAAGAAAAAAAAAAAAAAAAGAGGGGAGAAAGCGAGCCCAACAAGCCAGTAGACCAAGAAAGAAAAAAAAAAGGAGCAAAGGTGGCACCCGGCCCGAAGAAAGGAAAAGAAAAAAAAAAAGAGAAAAGAGAAGTCAAAAAGGGGAGGCGCCCAACCAAGCCAAAAAAAAAATAGGAAAAGAAAAGAAGAAGGAGAAGAGAAAAAAAAAATTTTGATACCAATTAATACAACGGAGTTCTGAAGACAAAGAAAATTTCGACTCACTCCGATGAAGACGAAGCACATGCCCGCAACCCTTTTCTCTCAAAAAGTCAGAGGCTTGGGGCATGGGGGGCAAATGATGCGCCCGAAATTAATTGGGCCAAGTCCAATTTAAATAAATCAAGAAAGCTCAAAGAAGAGCCCAACTGAATCTGGGTCAACCCATCAAGAGGAAATCCAAAAGAACATCAAGAGGTCAACGCCTAAGAGGCGGACGTCCAAGAGGCGGATGCCCAAGAGGCGGACATCAAAGAGCCGGACGTCCAAGAGGTACAAGAGGCCAACACCCAAAGCACCAAGAGCCAACACCCAAGCACTTAGGTCATCGCCCATGGCCCCCTCAACTGTCCAAGCACTGCCCATTGCTTCTCACTTTGCCACTCTAACCTAAGTCCAAACTTAGAATCAGGTCCAACCCAGCTCAAGATCTTCTTCTAACAGAACAGGATCATGAGGGAGAGAATATTAGGATACGCTCGGAGATCTAATCCTACCATAACTGCACTTACCAAAATAGTAGAAGTCCTCTCCCTCACGTCACCGCCTCACCACCTTACTAAACCTATATAATGTAAGCCCTCTTTACATAAAAGGCATGACCTTAAAATCTTGGCATGACCTTGAGATCTCTACAAGATCCCTACACACACTACACCTCCCTACACAAATTGATCTCTCTTTCTATTTCTCTCCAAAGCATTGTAATACTTCTGGAGTTACTCTCCCGGTGACATTATTCATCAATAAAGATCTCCGACCACCGCTGTCGTTCCCGAGAGTAGAATAGGTCACCCGAACCGAACCAGTATAAATCTTTGTGTTGATTCCATATTTACTGTTTTGTCATTGATTGTTTATTTACTGCTCATTAATTGCACCCTTACATATACTCGACTGTTGATTTTACACAAAGTCGATTTGTGCATCCTACATGTGTATGTGTTGCAAACCAAATATGGGTATGAATCAAATTGAATGTTGAATCTCATCTTTTCAAAGAATGATTTAGGTTTGGAAGGATTTGGGGAAGCCAATCCAAATTCCTCCTCAAAAATCATCCAAACAAGTTTGGGTCTGTTTGTTTACCAGGTTTGGAGGTTTGGAAAGAGNCAAAAAAAAAAAAAAAGAGGGGAGAAAGCGAGCCCAACAAGCCAGTAGACCAAGAAAGAAAAAAAAAAGGAGCAAAGGTGGCACCCGGCCCGAAGAAAGGAAAAGAAAAAAAAAAAGAGAAAAGAGAAGTCAAAAAGGGGAGGCGCCCAACCAAGCCAAAAAAAAAATAGGAAAAGAAAAGAAGAAGGAGAAGAGAAAAAAAAAATTTTGATACCAATTAATACAACGGAGTTCTGAAGACAAAGAAAATTTCGACTCACTCCGATGAAGACGAAGCACATGCCCGCAACCCTTTTCTCTCAAAAAGTCAGAGGCTTGGGGCATGGGGGGCAAATGATGCGCCCGAAATTAATTGGGCCAAGTCCAATTTAAATAAATCAAGAAAGCTCAAAGAAGAGCCCAACTGAATCTGGGTCAACCCATCAAGAGGAAATCCAAAAGAACATCAAGAGGTCAACGCCTAAGAGGCGGACGTCCAAGAGGCGGATGCCCAAGAGGCGGACATCAAAGAGCCGGACGTCCAAGAGGTACAAGAGGCCAACACCCAAAGCACCAAGAGCCAACACCCAAGCACTTAGGTCATCGCCCATGGCCCCCTCAACTGTCCAAGCACTGCCCATTGCTTCTCACTTTGCCACTCTAACCTAAGTCCAAACTTAGAATCAGGTCCAACCCAGCTCAAGATCTTCTTCTAACAGAACAGGATCATGAGGGAGAGAATATTAGGATACGCTCGGAGATCTAATCCTACCATAACTGCACTTACCAAAATAGTAGAAGTCCTCTCCCTCACGTCACCGCCTCACCACCTTACTAAACCTATATAATGTAAGCCCTCTTTACATAAAAGGCATGACCTTAAAATCTTGGCATGACCTTGAGATCTCTACAAGATCCCTACACACACTACACCTCCCTACACAAATTGATCTCTCTTTCTATCTCTCTCCAAAGCATTGTAATACTTCTGGAGTTACTCTCCCGGTGACATTATTCATCAATAAAGATCTCCGACCACCGCTGTCGTTCCCGAGAGTAGAATAGGTCACCCGAACCGAACCAGTATAAATCTTTGTGTTGATTCCATATTTACTGTTTTGTCATTGATTGTTTATTTACTGCTCATTAATTGCACCCTTACATATACTCGACTGTTGATTTTACACAAAGTCGATTTGTGCATCCTACATGTGTATGTGTTGCAAACCAAATATGGGTATGAATCAAATTGAATGTTGAATCCCATCTTTTCAAAGAATGATTTAGGTTTGGAAGGATTTGGGGAAGCCAATCCAAATTCCTCCTCAAAAATCATCCAAACAAGTTTGGGTCTGTTTGTTTACCAGGTTTGGAGGTTTGGAAAGAGGGTTTAAAAAAAATAGTTTGATAGATCCCGTAATTTTGTGTTTGGTTAGTATTTTTAAACTCAAAATTTTTTTCTCGGCCCTTAAATGACCCAGTGTATTAAACCTATATACATGAAGTTGGACAAACCCAGGGAGGTGGGTTTCATATTTCCTAGTCTAGGTTTTGGTTAATTATGTCAAATAACTCTTTTATCCTTAATAAAATATATTATCTATCAAATTGCATTTCAACCCCCTAATTACTCCTCTATGTAATTAAATAAACTTTTTAGTATAGATTAAATTTGTCAATGAATAATATAGTGATTTATAAAATAAATGTGTGTTAATAATTATGATAAATTCGTGAATCTTACGTGTGTATATATTACCTATCAAAACACGAATATGAATAAAATTTATATATAAATTCCATATACACAAAAATGAAGTTTGAATTTAAAAAAATTTGATAAAACTAATACAATCCCTAACCTCAAAACCATCTAAACATCAAACATGATATGGTTCCTAAACTCAAAATAGAACATTCTATATGGATATGATCATAGTGTGGGGTCTAAAACATGAGGTCCAAAATCTCACCAATCACACTCTCTGGATAAGAGAGAAATCTAAACTTTACAATCCTATTGGTTCCTCCCTCTCTCATCAGTCTTCATTTCTGTATACCCTTTTGCCAACAAACTCAACCATTGAACCCAATCTCAATCCTTGTGAGCTCACCAGAAACCAATGGCAGCAACCATGGCAGCAATGGCCGTTCTCAATGCCAAGTGCTTGACCTTCAGCTCTCCCAAAACTCTCAACCCTTCAAGGCCACCCACAAAACCCATTTCTCTCCTCTCCATGCAAAGCCTCCCAAAAGGCCTCACCAACGGAAAACCATCCCACAACTCAGAATTCTTAACATCACCACTCGCCGGAACAGCCCTCGCCGGAGCTTTTTTCTCAGCCCTGAGTTCTTGCAATCCGGCCTTTGCAGCCCAACAAATTGCTGAAATAGCAGAAGGCGATAGCCGCGGTCTTGCTCTACTACTACCCATCATTCCGGCCATTGCCTGGGTGCTTTTCAATATTCTCCAACCAGCTCTTAATCAGATTAACAAGATGAGAAGCAGCCAAGGGGTCATCATTGGGCTTGGCCTTGGTGGCTTGGCTACATTAGGGTTCATGTCTACTCCTCATGCCTCAGCCAGTGAAGTGACCATGATAGCTGAAGCTTCAAGTGACAGCAGAGGACAGCTTCTACTGTTTGTGATTGTCCCTGCTATTCTTTGGGTGCTATACAATATTCTACAACCAGGTTTGAACCAGATCAACAAAATGAAATCAGAGTGATGCAACCCGTTTTGTGTAGAGTTTGTCGAGGGTTGGATAAGGGATCGATCGAATTGAGTCTGTCGAGGTAAAGTATTCTCAACTTTGGTTATTGGGATGTTCGAACTTTGACCATACTTTGGAGTGGCTGTAACTACACCTTGTGTTAATGTTAATGAATAATTTTGGGGTTACTTGCGATTTCTGTTGGATTACTTTTATGAATAGTTATAAATCAAAGCCCAAGGTGATTTATTATGAACTACTTTTATGGTTTATCTTTTTTTTTTTTTTTTTTGCCTGTGAGATTATTTCCGATATTCCAATGTAGTATTGCATGTAAAATTGTTCATAACTGATTGTGTCCGGGGAATTAGTCTAATTCATTCTTGGCCGAGTAGCCATCTATTCTTAGTCTTAGGGCTTATTTGGTTGTTGTATTAAAAATAAATGAATTAAATAAAATAATAGAGTTTAATAAATACAGAAAAACAAAAAACAAAATTAAATAAGGTATTAGAATAATACGTAATTTTATCTAGTGTTTAACAATATACAACATAAACGTTAGATAATAGTTATTTAATAAAATCGATTGTTTTATAGGGAATTATTTCATAGTATTAGTGTTGAATTAATAAAAATACTCTCAATCTGTGTTTGTGATATCGATGACAACTTGATTTTATCAGTTGGATATTATAATAGTAAATGTGTTAAAATAATACGTTTGAGTTATATTATAATATCACTTCTCTTAGTGGTATTAAAATATCTCTATAATGCAGGTCTATCGTATAAAAAATATACGATTATTATATGTTTTTAAAATTAATACAATATCAAATTTGTTTATCAAACAAAATATTAGACCCAATTAAATAAAAAATATTACAATTTAATATTTAATTCTCTTATAATACATCTACCAAACAAGTCATAAAAGTATTATTATTTGCTGACCTAATTGATAATCGGCCTCAAAATAGAATTCTCTACTAATCTAAGGATTGTAATCTATTACGCCACCAAATTAGATCTAAACGTTATTACTACTATTCTAATTGCATAGTAGCCATAACAAGAGACATATACAAGCACGTCCTAAGCCAAAGGTGAATCTTAAGCCTCGGCTATGGATCAGGGCTAAGCCCATAAGGCCTGACTAGGCCAGTCCATGGCCCATGGAGGACAGTGTGCCAGCTATCAAGTCAGACCGTTGACTAGTCAACATCCCATGCAATCCTACCCAAAATTTCAAGGGTAATTTAAAAATTGATATAAAAATTTAAACTTATTTGAGTTAAATTATATTAATGAAATTTATTTAGTTCTAAGCGTATTTTTTTAAAAAAATACTAAAACTGTATTTATTACTTTATTACTCTTTCTCTCTCTCCAATACTCTTTCACTCTCTATTCTATATTTTCTCTCTATCTATTTCTCTCATATTGATAAAAAAAAATTTTAATATGTAAATATTTAATTTAATTTGTCATCTCTCTCTTCCTATTTTTTTTCTCTCTCACTCTCTCTCCCCTTATTTCCTTATTTTCTCTCTTTATGTCAACGTTACACAACCCTATTATATTAATCAGTTACACAAATTAATTAAAATTACCGTATAATACATTAAATAATTATTCATGTGCTATAATAAACCAAACAGCTACACTAAACAATTATACAAAATTAAAATACTAATTCAATTTATCATTTAGTTATTTATATAAATTAAAGAGTTACACTATTTAGTATCACGACATGATTACACTAATTATATACAGCAAATTGAGTTTATGATTACACAAAAAACTTTACCATTATATTAAATTTGGTATATGATGGGGGTAACTCGAAAATACTTGGCCTAAGTGCATAACCGTGGATTGGAGACCCGATGATGGGGGTAATGTGAATATTTGGATTAACAGAGTAGAAAGAGGTGAAGTTGGATCAAAACAGTATATAAATGGTTCACCTTAGTTGAAAAACCAAGACTACATCCACTGTAATTGAGACTTTTGCTCCTTGAAGTATATATTACTTGAAGAAGAAGATTATAATAGATTTCTAGGCTTAAAGTCTTTGCATATAGTGCTCTGGTGAATATAGATTTCTCTTTTTGGAGTCATTTACACACGTGATAGTCTATTTATACTAGTAATTATCTAAAGGCTTCTATGATTTCTCCCTTTCTTTGTTGATTCTGTGGTCCCTTTTTTCCTTTGTCTTGTAGTGTTATCTGTCACCCTAACGCAAATAGTGCCCACGATTCTTAAACGGAATGAGCACCAATATTCCCTCTGTCAGTGAGCACATGTTCGTTAGTGGCTCCAGACCCCCTTACCCCTTGGGCACGTGGCGTGATGGGAGATATTAGGGATCCAAAGAGTACTGAGCTCCTTGTTCCCGAGCTGGATGTAACTGAGCACATAGTTTTAAAACCCAGCCTAGACATCAACTCGATGAAGAGACTGGATCAATGGGTCACTGGTTCAACAGTTGGNGGGGTAACTCGAAAATACTTGGCCTAAGTGCATAACCGTGGATTGGAGACCCGATGATGGGGGTAATGTGAATATTTGGATTAACAGAGTAGAAAGAGGTGAAGTTGGATCAAAACAGTATATAAATGGTTCACCTTAGTTGAAAAACCAAGACTACATCCACTGTAATTGAGACTTTTGCTCCTAGAAGTATATATTACTTGAAGAAGAAGATTATAATAGATTTCTAGGCTTAAAGTCTTTGCATATAGTGCTCTGGTGAATATAGATTTCTCTTTTTGGAGTCATTTACACACGTGATAGTCTATTTATACTAGTAATTATCTAAAGGCTTCTGTGATTTCTCCCTTTCTTTGTTGATTCTGTGGTCCCTTTTTTCCTTTGTCTTGTAGTGTTATCTGTCACCCTAACGCAAATAGTGCCCACGATTCTTAAACGGAATGAGCACCAATATTCCCTCTGTCAGTGAGCACATGTTCGTTAGTGGCTCCAGACCCCCTTACCCCTTGGGCACGTGGCGTGATGGGAGATATTAGGGATCCAAAGAGTACTGAGCTCCTTGTTCCCGAGCTGGATGTAGCTGAGCACATAGTTTTAAAACTCAGCCTAGACATCAACTCGATGAAGAGACTGGATCAATGAGTCACTGGTTCAACAGTTGAGTCACTAGCCAGACCGGTAATATAATAAAAAATAAATATAAATAATAATAACTAGGCTAAAAAATCACAATAATTATAAAAATAATATCAAACATGTAAAGTTAAATAGCGAAAATTTATCAAATATGTATCCAATTTTCATACTGGACATTGTCAAAAAGCATTAAAAGAATAGGACAAAGCATTCAAAAGACAATGTGTCTATATGTTTTGGATAATGTTTTTATTTATTTATAATTCGAATCATCCAGTTAACTTCATTACTCTTCAAGGGGAATTCAATCTATCTCAGATATCCTCAATCAAACAAAACCCATATTAAACCAACATCATGATCAAACATTCAAATTTGCCCATGAACAAGTAAATCACCATTTAATTCTCAAACATACTAAAAACTCAAACTATAAAACCAATATATTGAAATACCCAGATCAGATATTGCATCAAAAAATTAATCAAAACTCTTTTAATTTTACATACTCTACCTGCACATAAACTGACCGACAAAACAAAGTTGTGAAGAAATGTTGTTGTACCTGCTAAAGAAGACTGGAGAGGAGCCTAAAGAGTTGAGCGTCCGATGGCGGCGCTTTGCTTTCTCCAGCCATTTGATTCTTAGATGATTCCTTAATGGTTTTGCTGGGTTGGGCTTGATCTGATCTGTGCTTTACTTTCTCCAAATTATCGACTTCTCTATTGTTAATCTCATATCTACTGGAAGTTTATGGATTGAAGCTCAAAAGAGACAAAGAAAAAAGGGGGGGCGGAGAGAGAGAGAGAGAGAGAGAGAGAGAAAGAGAGAGGAAAAAACTCACTGAACTGGAGTTGATTGAATTGGAATCGCTAGAGTCGACTGCCTGCTGGTGCTGGAATCGACTGCCTGCTGGACTGGAATCGATTATGTCGTCTGGTTTGGAACGATTTAAGGCAAAACAAAAGGGAAAAAAACACAAAAATGCCCCAAATGATGAAAAATTTTTCACATTTATACAAATCAAATTAAACCACCCCGTTTGATAAACTCGTCTGGTTCTCACGGGTTTACCCCGGATTTTTTACATAAACGGTCTTTGAATAAAATCAGCCCGGTTAGGGGACTGGTTCACTGGTTCACCAGGTTGACCCGTCGGGCCGGGTTGGATTTTAAAACACTGTCCAAGTAAGAGCATACTAACCTGGATGTCATCGAACCCTTTTTTTTTTTGGGTTGTGGTCCATTCTTCCTATGGGGTGAGCAAGCTAAGGATGGACCGTTTGGGCTGCCATGTAACTACGGGGCCCATTGGACGTTATGGGTTTTTGAATGGGTGACCCAAGCTGAAATCTTACTATTATCAGTATATATAATTGGTGTAACGATGTCGCTATAGTAAATTGTGCAACTATTTAGTTTATGTAAACAACTGAATAACAAATTGAGTTAGTGTTATAAATTTGTGTAATTATTTGGTGTAATTGTTTGGTTTATTAGAACGTATGAATAATTGTTTGGTGTATTGTAGGACAATTGTAATTGATTTGTGTAACTGATTAGTATGATTGTATTATTGTAATGTTGATATAAATAGTGAGAAAAAATAGGAAGAGAGAGGGGGAGAGGGAGGGAGGGAGAGAGAGAGAGAGAGAGAGAAAATAGGGGGAGAGAGGGGGAGAGAGAATAAATGAGAGATGAAAAAATAAATCAAATCTTTACATACTTGAAAAGAAAATAAATTATCAATGATAGATATAGAGAGAAAATAGGGGAGAGATGAGGAAAGTAATGGGGAAAGAGAGAGAGATTGAGAGAAAATAAGGGAGAGATAGTGAAAGAGTTTAATGAAATTTTTATATATTTGATTAGATATATAATTATTAATAAAAAATACATAATTTAAGGGAGGGATTTAGATAAAACAGTTTTATTTGAATTGCCGGTGGCCCATCCATCGAGCTGGACATAATGAGCTTATTCTTTGATTGTTTTTACAGTTGATCTATGTCATATATATATTTGGTCCATGGACTGGGCCATGATCACAGTAATGGTTCTTCATGGACCTTTTCGTGTCACCTGCTGATTTTACGGGTTCAAGACCACAACTCATGATCCCTCTCTTTGGGTTAGCAAACAATCCCATGTAAAACTACGGGTATATGCCTCAACGGATAACCAGCTAACAGGTTTAACCCGTGGGTGACGGGCCATATATTGAGGTTTAGTGGCACAAAAGTGTTTGTTTTCTATTTATTTTTCTAGAAAAAGTATGGTGGGCGAGATTGAAGCCCAAGTTGCTTAGAAGACAATTAAAGAGAATTAATGGATTGAAAATGTGGATATATGGCTAATGAACTTTGTGCCCATTTTTAGGACTTCCGACCATTCAACAAATATTGTTACAGTATTTTAAACAAAAGAGTATTTTTTATATGAGAATTTAATTTCACATTTGCTAAATTTTTAAAAGTAATTGAATATATATATTTACACACGTGTGTGTGTTATCTAGTCTTTGATTTAAAATGAGACATTGGAACTTTCACGTGTGCGGGGATAAAACAAGCGAGGGAGATACGAAACACATTGACCAACCTATTTCACACACGGATAGTGGGGGCTTGCCTAAATGGAATAAAATATGGATAACGTTGTACTGCACAAATTTTTTTATCAAATCTTATATTCCAAGTGATGTGTTAAAATCTCATGCATTGAATATTTAGTGGAGTTAGTGGACCTCACTAATTCAACCACTTGTATTGATTTGGAATATTAAATTTAGGCAACAATTGATCAGCATAACATTGCTCATAAAATATTAACTACTATTATACCCACTTTTTAATATTTTATTTAATTATTTTGTATCATAACTCCTATGTTAAAAATTAAGTTCCTTAATACTAAAAATTCTAATTATTTGTTTTCAACAACTATTTTTTATTAATTATTATTTGATTAAATATAAGAGTAATTGTGAAATATTAAACACATATATTTTATGTATATATAT